GGTATCACGGAATTCCTTAGTCTCAGGGCTATACGGCAGCCTAAATCTGGTCCCGAAAGGTTCTTCCGTTCAGCTACAATTGTCTATATAAGACAGCATGTCCGCTGGTAGATAGATAGAGAATCATCAACTTTAACACCTCTTACACACACCAATACACTACCAATAAATTCCGTTGAAAATCCTACCTTATACTCCTTCTTCCCCTCTATCACGTAGTCTTACGTGATTCCTTGATTTCCCAAAATTCCGCTTTTGCTCATATACCTTTAGAGTTAGAAAAAGGGTTGTTAGGAAGGCCTTATATTTTTCTATAAAGGTATTAGCTTTTACCTTTATCCCTTCTTTTATATATAAGATACTAAGAAAGGTAAGGTTAGCTTTAGCCTTACTATAAGAAAAGGCTATAAAGATATCCTTTCCTATTACTTTTATTAAGAAGCTTTCTTAGTATTACTTTTTAATAGCTTTAATAGTATACTTAAAGCTATTTTAGGCCTTTATAAAGCTCTTTTAGCTCTTTTTATTCTAAGCTAGCTTATAGGCCTATTAGGCTAAACTTAGGGCTTTTTAAAAGTAATTTAGCTTATTAGTCTACTAAGGCTTAGATCTATTATAAGGCCTCTTTTTTAGTATCGCTATATTTAAGGCCTCTATAAGGGTTCTTATTAAAAAGGAAGCTATCCCTTTTAAGTTATCTCTTTTTATAGCCCTTTCTATAGCTATAAAAAGGTCTTATTCCTTCTTAGCTAAGTATTCTAAAAAGACCTTTTAGTTTACTTTCTTATAATTATAAGTAGTAGGCCTAGCTAGTAAGAGCCTAGATAGTAAAGGCTTATTAAGGCCCCTTAAGCTAGCTTTAAAGGCTATAAGCTTATAGTCTAAGCCTATAGCCTCTAAGAAGTAGAAGTTAGCTTAGGTTAGCTATTTAAAAGGGCTATAAAAAGTAAGGTCTATAACTAAGGCCCCTTTTAAGCCTTTCTTTTAATAAGTACCTTTTATAGCTACCTTAAGGTCTAATAGTAAGGAAGCTTTATAGTAGTCGAGCTAGCTAATAAAGGCTTCTACCTTATAGGCCTTAAAGGGTTTTATAAAAGGGTTTTAATAAAGGTAGTATAAGTTAAAGTCCCTTACTAGTAAGAAGGGCTATTATAGGAGTTAGTCTATTAATAGTAGCCTTTTTATTATAAGAGGCCCTTACTAGCCTTAGCTAGCTAAGGCCCCTTTAACCTCTTTTTTATTATATAGGTTAATAAAAGTAATTAGTTTAGTACCTTCTACCCTTATCGCTTATATATTAAGGTTATAAAAGAGGTTAAAGCTAAGGCTAGCTTTTATTTAAGCTTCTTTCCTCTTATAAGCTATAACCCTTAGCCTCTTAGTAAGTTTAAGAAAGTTATTAAAAGGGATAAGGGTTATAATATTATAAGCTAAATACTATATAGGGATATAGCTATTATCGATCTAATAAAGGTAGGGCTCTTATAATAAAATAAGGTCCGCTCTTATTTCTAGAGCTTACTTTAAGATTAATAAGTTAGCTATTTCCTACTTATTAATATTATACTATATAATACTAATAAGGTTATAGTTAGGCTTAAAAGGCCTAAAGGGCCTTAGGGGCCTTATAAGTATAAAGGGGCTAAGGCTATTAAGTATTAATTATTCTCTTATAAACTTTATATTATACCTTATTAGTTATAAGGTACTCTCCCTTATAGTTATAATATTAAACCTTAAAGTAAGAGTAGCCTTAGCTAGCTTTATAGCTAAGGTAGTTATAGTCCTTAGTTAAGTACTTTTCTAGGTAAAAGGTATACTTAATAAGCTACTAATAGGTCTAAGGGTTATAGCTAAAGGAAAGGCACTAATAGTACTATATATATATAGTATATTCCTTATAAGCCTTAACTTAAATCTATAGACCTACTATATAAAGGCTTTTATTCTAGTATTTAGCCCTTATTACCTTTAAAGGGACTATAAAGATAATAGATCCTACCTTCTATACTAGGCCTAAGGTACTTAGCTACCTAAGCTGCCTTAGGATATTAATCCCGCTAAAGGTTTTAGCTTCTACGGTAAAGATATTAAGGATAAGGGTCTTTAAGAGGTTAGGGACGCTCTAGGCTACTAGCTTAGTCTAGCTAATAAGAAGGTCGACCGATTATATAAGTAGCTCTTTAAGGTATAAGGACTACTTCTCCTACTACTTTAAAAGCTTCTTTACTATATAAAGGGCTTTTATCGTTATAATTATATTACCTTTATTTAAAGTTAATAGAGCTAATATAGCTAGTTTCCTTATAGCTTTATTAAGCTTATTATAAAGAGTAATAAGGCTAATAGTTAGTATTAGCGATCCCTTTTTTAGCTTTAAGATATATTAAAAGTCCTCTTTTACGTTCCTCTTAACTAAGGCCTTAGTTAGGGCCTTAGCTAGGGCCTTAGCCGGAGCCTTAACTAGGGCCTTAGCTAGGGCCTTAGGCGCCTTCTTTACGGTAACCTTAGCCTATAAGCTCGCTTTAAAGTTTCCTTAAGTAGCCTTAAGCTACTAAGCGGCCTTAGGCTAGTATAAGGGCTATTATAGAGGCTATTAGTAGTCTAGGGTCCTTATAGCTACCTTCTTAAGCCCTTTTATAAGGGTCTTATAAAAGGGTTCGATTTTCTAGGCTTCCTTAAGGGCCTAGAAGGCCTACTAAAAGAAGCCCTAGGCCCGGTCCCTAGGAAAGGGGTACTAGGGCTAGGGCTAGGTCTACTATAAGTATTAAAATATAGGTCGGATAGGTATAAGGCTAATAGGGCTACTAAGGGTAGCTCTCTTTCGCCCCTTTACTTACTTTAGGAGCTAGTTAAGCTAAAAGAAGTTTAACGGGGACGAGGGTATATACCTAAAGCACGCGTAGTATATAGCTAAGGATTAGTAGAGCAATTAACTACGTAATTATCTAATTATCGGTCCTATATATAGCTTAAGGGGTCTTAGGTTATTAATATAAGTCTTAGAATTTCTTTACTCTATACCTCTTCGTCTCTACTAGAGTCGCGTAACTAGCGGCCTTTACTTTAAAGGGAAAAAAAAAAAAATTCAAATTAACTATAATTAAGGGAGATGCCTTATTAGATAATCGAGGTCTTTATAACGCCTTTAAGTATACTTAGAAGTAAGTTAGAAGGGGAGTGCTAGGGGTCTTATCCCTCTAACGGGCTAATATCTATAGGGGTGCGATCTTACCTATTAAAGTAGCTAGCTTAAGGCAGGGTTAAGCTAGGCCTAAAGAGGCTAGTCTTTAATATAAGCTAGGTATTATCTTTTATCTTAATATCCTCTAAGTCCTAGTCTTAGGTCCTAGGCCTTTCTTCTAAGGTCCTTAAAAGGCATTAGCCTTTTAAAGCTTCTTTTAAGTAAGCCCTAGCCTCTAAGGTACTTATTTCGGCCCTTAAGTTAAGGGGGTTAAAGTTAAAGGGGCCTTCCTTAAGTCTAGGCTAGGGTCCTAGGTTAGGTCTAAGTTAGGTCCTATTAGCGGGAGGTATATACCCTTAGTTAGCGAGGGCGGGGAAGAGTTTTCTACCTATATAAGGGAGAACCTTACTTAATTCATAATCTTCGGTAGTATATTACGCACCCGCTAGTAGCTATACGAGGCTATACTTAAGGGGGCGTAATACGCTATTTATAACGGTTTTAAGCGTTTACTTTTTTTATATTTTAGGCTTAGTTTTAAAAAGTTAGCTAAGAAGATATAATAATATTATAGTTTTTATATAGTATAATTAGTTAGGTAGTAGAGATAGCTAAAGGTACTACGCTATATATATTATATTCTTTTATAGTAAGACTAAAGCTTACTAAAAAAAGAATTTTCTCTTTTTTAGTTAGCGTAGTAAGTTACTTATAACTTATAAGCAAGGTATATATAATTCCCTACTAATACCCTACTAATATATTAGTCCTATATACCTAAGTACTTTATTAGCCTATACCTCTTAATAGCGCTCCTATAAGCCCCCTATCTATACTATACCCTTCTAAGCTATAGCGGTATAAGTTAGTACTATAGCTATCTAGTTATAGCGATTATTAATATTCTTACTAATATACGTCGGCGAGCTACTAAGCGCGTTATCTTAGTAGCTAAGGAAGTCGCGGAAAAAATCGTTAGTAAAGTAAAGCGAGTATCCTAACGTAAATCGGGTAGCCGTTTAGTCGAAGGCCGTATAAAAGGCATAGAATACGGCTAGCTTTACTTACTATACTTTTATCTAGCTAGCGATAAGTCTCTCTATTATATATACGATATTAACTAATAAGTCTTAAGCCTTAAGGAAGTTATTAAGTTTATCTATCTTATTTTCGTTTACTATATCTCTTATTATATTATCTTAGCGGTCGGCGTCGGTAAAACCGTTATCGGTTTTATCGTAATTTTTACCGCTTAAGGTAGTAAGTAGAGGTTCGTCGGGTCGCTAAGTGCGTCGTCGCGATAGCAGTTCGGCGAGGCCGCCGAGTAGGGCCTGCCGAAGGAGCGCTTCTCTAGCTCCTAAAGCGTTCGTAGGAGTCCTAGGGTCCTGCTCCTAAGTCATTAGTCGCGCCTGGTCCGTGGGATTAGGTGCTATAGCCGCCCTTAGCCCGAAGCTGAGCGAGGTTTTAATACGCCCTCGATAGCAGCTACGTGGTAAATACAGCGAAATTATTAACAGCTAGTGCCAAGAGAGTAAGAATCTAGCTTATAGAGCCAGCTTATAGAGCTGGTGAGGAACGAACGCGAAATAAGTGGGTCGTGGCACGGGTAGGGGGTATGACGTTACCTGGCCAACAGTCACGAGGTATGTCATTACGTAAGCGGGCGGTCGCCACGTTTTGATTGTTTGTCCCCTCCCAGTCCGAAGTAGAACGCTCCAATGCAATCTTGTCCATTCTAATTCCGTTTCCCATCACTGCCCAAAGGAAGCAACAGTCACTCCAGCGCCTTGTGCTCTCCGGGGCACTGACCATCGTCATGGCCGAATCCCAGAGGATGCGGGAGCTCGAGAGGCTCTTGCAGCAGGCAGAATTGCGAGCTCAAGAAGCAGAGAGAGGACTCCAGGAAGTGCAGAGACAGCGCCAAGAAGATCAGGCACTAACTCAACCCACGACGCTCAACGAATACCTCACGGCCTGCCACGACTCCCTCTTTTCCAACTTCAGGATCGAGCCTGATAAGTCCCTCCAGTCAAAGGGCTCCATCAGCAGTCCGCGCCACAAGTGGTGCCCGACAACCCTTAAGCCGTGGTCCGACTTCCTCGACGGACAGCGTCGCGTCTTTGGCCTACTCTTAGACACGTTTCCCGCAAACACGCGTGCCTTTGAGAGTCAAGCCGTCCTTGCCGGCTTTGGCAAGAGGCTCTCTAGGCGGACCATTGCCGACGAGAAAGGACTAGAGTCCTTTCTACACATTAGCGTCGAGGATCCAGTCCGCGCCATCATCGACGAACTTAAGCACATCGACGAGGTCAAGAGTACCTTCCGACTCGGCGATGGCATCGTCTTTGAGAACCATCCGCATGCTATTAGCGATGTGTCCGAAGAGGTCCTGCTACTCGAGGATGACGTGCCGTCGACGCCTGGCCAAAGCATCGACATCAACCAGCTGCGCCCAGACCAGATCTGCGTCTACCGCTCCGACGATTCGGCCTCGGCAAGACGCACCATGGCTTACGTCTCAGAGTACAAGCCCCCCCACAAGCTTAAGGCGCCGTACCTTCGCCTAGCTCTCCGCGGGTCCCTGGATATCTACGCCGGCGTCGTCAACCGCAAGACGATTCCCCGTCGAGAGAATCTAGACGAGTATGCCCAGTACTCGGCCGAGAAGTTGACGGCGTCGGCCATTACGCAGACCTACCACTACATGATTGAGGGCGGGCTCGACTACGGGCTGTTGACGACGGGCGAAATAATTGTCTTTCTAAAGATTGACTGGGACGAACCTAGCACCTTACTGTACCACCTGGCAGAGCCCAGCGCCGAGACGATTGCCCATCCTGCCCATTCTCATCTGTGTTCGGCAGTGGGCCAGTACTTGGCCTTTAGTCTCGTGGCGCTCGGGTCATCGGTCCATGGGCAAGAGGAGCGCCAACGGGCCAGGGCCTCGCTTAAGACGTGGTTGGAGGATTTTGAGACGACGCTACGGTCGCTTCCCGAGGGCCCATGTAGCACGTCTGACATGACCTTTTCGCCGGTGGATTACGCGGGCATCGACCGATCACCCTATGTCCTCCGACGGCGACGGAGGCCGACCCCGGACGGGCCTACGAGAGAACAGATCGAAAGAGGTCCGAGGGAGCCGCCCGATGACGACTCGGACCCAGGATTTCCGGACACGCCAAGCCCCCAGGAGCGACGATCGTCTGGCGGAACTCGACGCAGTCGACGGATACAGGCCCAACGCTCACGGGGCGGCGGCAGTGGTCAAGGGAGCACTGAACAGGAGAGCACTACACAGGGAAGAGCTGAACAAGGAGCAGGTAAACAAGGAAGCACTGGACCACAGTACTGCACCCAAAAGTGCCTCTTGGGACTCGTAAGAGGCGGTCTTCTCGACAAAGCATGTCCCAACGTTGCTCTTCACACGAGACTGGGCAGCCACGCTGGGAAGAGGCGCCCCCGAACATTTCATGCTCTCGATCACGCTCAGTTCCGCGATCTCCTCTGGAAGCAGCTACAACACTCGTTGGACGACGGAATCACGCCCTTAGCGCAGGGAGGCGCGCGCGGCGTCCTGCTCAGGGTGACGCTGCTCGCACATGGCTACACCTTTGTCGCCAAGGGCACCGTGCGAGCCTTTATCAAGTGTCTCGAGCACGAGGCGGCCGTTTACGAGCGCCTGCAGCCATCACAGGGCGTATATGTGCCCGTGTACCTGGGTTCCATTGACCTACGATCCATGAATAAAATCTACTACTTCGACCACCGCGTCTACGTTATACACATGACGTTCATGTCGTGGGGAGGGCATGGAATCCATCTCGCTGACTTGACGGATACGGCCGAGCAGCATCTCAGGGAAAAGGCTTTGCAGTCGCTACGCGCGATACACGCAGCGGGAGTGGTCCACCAGGACGTACGGGTAGCAAACATGCTGTCGAATGCCGAGACGAATGGCGTCATGATAATTGACTTTGAGCGGGCCTCGATTCGGCGCCCGTTGGCGCAAGTGGTGCCGAGCAAGCGGAATCGGAAGCCGGAGTCGACGGATGCTAATACTAGCAAGTTGTCGGATAAGTCGAACAAGCGGTCTCGAGTCAGAACTGTCACTGCCGGCGAGATTCATACGGTGGAAATGATGTTCCGATATCGTTATTCCGATTAGCCGCAACTTGTATCTCAGTGTTGTCAAGTCCTTATTAACGAGCGACCAGGAAGGGGGGCCTAAGGGCGGCTTTTGCAGCAGAATCAAGAAGTAGGATTAATAGTATCGAGTGCCATGGTGGTTATATCGCCGGACTTACGGGGCTCCGCCACGCCGCGGTCGCCGCGGTCGCGCCCCAGGTACAGGAGGGCGGCCAAGAAAATCTCGCAGAAAAACACGATCGTCGAGGTCGCAACGACGTCTTCGGAGTCCAGTGATAATTCCACCGGAAGAATTGGCGGTCCTCCATGCACAAGATCCGGTGTGGAGTGGCGACCTTAACGCTTGCGCCTTGACGGACCGCGATAAGGCCACCCTACGCGAGTTCTAGACTAAACTTAACAATAACTAGATAGAATATTATAGCCGATATCGCGAGTATTAGTTTTAGATAGAAATTGATTATAACGGTATTTGCTCGCGTTGCTATCGAAAGGATAAGAAGCGTGGCCCCGATAAGCCTTATTTCTTCTCTGCCGAAAATCAACTTAACTTTGGTCCCGTACCGGCCCGATTGCCTAAGCTCACGCCTATAGAAGAGTCATTGATTGCTCGCGTCTACGTCTATGTAAGCATTATGCTAGTGCGAAGGCAGCAGTATAAGGATCGCGGGCATGTCGTTCACTTTCTTCGCGAGGTTGGCTTGGTGTATAACCAGCTCCCGCTGCTGCCGCGGGAGTTGAACACGTGTTGCTGCGTTCTGCCAACACGTCGTCCCACGCCAATCTCGGCCGGCAATTCACCCGACAGTTCCGTGTGCGCCGCTAGGCGGTTGTGATATGGCTTGACTACCTCCGCTATCATCATCCTGCAGCTCCATCAGCCACCGTGTGCCACCGCGCATTGTGTCTCCGACGACCATACATTACACCTTTGGCCATGGCCATGGCGCGGCGTGGCGTAGCAGCATGCTGGTGCTATGTCCCTCTGAGCCTGGTTGCATTGCGGCCTCTTTCTGCTAAAACTGCCCTCCGCATAGCCCTACCCTACGTCGATGAATTGAAAGAACGGACAAACGCGACTGTATATATACGGGAACGACCTAGCAGCGTGTCGTCTATTCCTAGCTATATCTGCAACTAATCCGGCCATAAGTACTTAATTCCCACCGCTTTACCTAGTAGGCTTTCCTCTTAATATACGACGACCATTACCCCGGCCGTATACCTCTACGCGTTTATGTCTGCCCCTCTATTCTCTTATCTTCGCTCTCCGACTAATAATAGGACAGTTAGTTGCGACTAGTCTCTAGATTCCTGCGACGTTTACTACGAAGTTTCCGATATAGACCGGCTTAGTCGTATCGTCTACTATCACCGTCTAGTATTTATTGCGATCCTATATCGAGAAACGGGAAATTAGCCTAGTTATATTATTTAGAACCGTAATACTTAGGAGGGGCTTTCGATGCTAACGGGGACTTTGCGAACTAGTAACATATTAAAATCACGTTCTAAATGCCTAGGACGTTCCGCGAGTAGAAGGTATCTCTAAGACTATTTCTTATAGTAGCCGTTTCTAGCCTCGAAACTATTACTACTAAATTCTACTGCTTAACTACTTTAAATATAAGTAGTATCGATTAAATCTCTAAAGCTAAAGTTCGTAATAGCGCTATAAAACTATTATCCTTAGTTATAAGGTTTAGACTTACTACCTCTATATAAGCTTATATAGAGATAACGTACCCTTTACTACTTCGTTCTAAGTTTAACTTATATATAGTAGTAGAGGATATAAAATATAATATAATATTACTTTTAAAATTAAATAGTAGCGATTTTATATATAAAGGCTATATTTCTCGCGAAGAGAGATGCGAGAAGTGTATATAAAATACGCGAAGGTGAAATTAGAAGTAAGGGGTCGGATAGGCAAGGTAGAGAGATTTGATTCTTACGGGGGCAGCAATAAAGGTAGGGGAGTGATTATTATATTGCCTTAATTGTCCTTCTTTCCTCTATCCAACGCCCCTATTTATACCCGTCTAGCATCTCAATTAACAAAGAAGATCCTGCTTAAAGAAGCCACTGATGTCCTTTTAACTACCGAGCTGTTTGCCGGTTTTTCCCTTCCTTTCTAGCCGTTTCCGGCATATCCGTCTTATCTCTCGCCACTTTATGCTTTCCCTTATGCCCCCACCCTCCTTTCTGCACCTCTTCTCGGCTCCTTCTTCCACACTAGGTGTTTTTAGCTTCCTTAGTCCCTCTTGCTAAGGGATATCTCTAAGAACTGCGAAATCAGGCCACGCTTCGCGATACACCCCCTTAGCTATGGCCTGCCCCTTAAGGGCATAGCTAATACGGCTTCGGGCTAGTGAGCGTATAGAGGAGGTTCTTAGCTCTGCACTTCTCCCTTTACTCGAGGAAAGCATTCTTATACGTGCTATTAGCTCCTCTCGTAGACTCTTAAGGCGGGCCTCTAAGGATAGCTTCTCTCGAACGTCTTCTAGCCTAATTTGCTATAAGAAGACAGCTAGCTTCTACTTCGGCAAGGGCTTCGTAAGACCGTTAGCTTTTATCGATGCCGTTAGAACCTAACGGACGGAAATAAGTCCCCTTTAGACCTCTTAGTATAACTAATACTAGTAGATATCGATATACCGTAGCCGGGTCGATAACTTACTGTTTTCCGTAAGAATTCGTATAGTCTGCGTATTATCGCATTCTATAGCTAATAGGGTCGGAATTTATAGTCGTAACGATATTAGCAGCCGGCTAAGGAAAATCGCTTCTTTTAACGCTTCTAAAAGAGCTAGTAGCTCTGCCTCTATACTAGAAGTCGTAACGGTGGCCTGCTTCGAAGCTTACTAAGCAATAGTTCCTCTAAAAAGGGATATAATATACCCTTATAAGCTCTTTCTATCTAAGGAATTATCCGTAAAGGACGAATCGCTCGAATAAAGGAAGATTTCGGCAGCTTGTTTCCTTCCCTACCCTCCTAGGCGCAGACTATATAATCTCGTTAAATAGAGATAAAGGATAGCTCTATCTACTGCTTCTTAATGCCTAGGGCTAGGATTCTAGTTATACCTAGCTAGCCGGGAGACCGTAAAAGAGATATTCGGTTTAGTAGAAATAGCTAAAAAAAGCAGGGAGCCTACCTTCTATTAATATTAGTGTTTCTCTTACTCCCTAGCTTAAAAGAACGGATTAGGCAAAAGCTCTTCGTTTAATATAGGCGTAGAGGGAAGCTTCTTATTAAGGGAATTAGGGAGGAATTTATAAGCGACCTTATCGATATAGGCGTCCTAGGTAAGCTAGATAGTCTGTTAGGACCTATTCCGAAGGATTTATATCCCTAGGAACTACTTTAGCTCCCCTAGCCTAGTTATCTTATACCTTTATTATAGGCCTCGTATAGCCTCCCTAGTAGCAGCTTCTTCCTCTTTTAGGTATGCCTAGATAATATTATCGACGTAGAAGAAGACTATGATTTTACCCTTTTATATTATATACGGTTACTAAGGGACTTTCGTAAAGCCTAAGGCTTCGAGGGAACCTATTAAATACTATTGCTAAAGAAGGGGTGATCTTCGTAGTCTATATAGAGCTTTCCTAAGCCGTAGAACCTTTCCTAGCTATTAGAAGCCTAGTAGAAGGCGTATATAGATAACTTCTTCTTCCTTAAGTAGGCAGTTAATAAAGGCATTAACTATATCTATCTAATCGAGCTCGAGGTCGAATTCTACTACTATAGCTATAAGGGTCTAAAAAGACATCCCTGCTAGGGTAGTTGCCCTAGTAGGTAAATCCCCTTTTCCCTGCTAGTTCCCGTAGATAACTAGCCGGGCCTTATACTTTTAAAGGAAGCCGTGTTTAATAGTCTTATAGATAAAGACCTACTTATAGCTAAGGACCTGTTTTCCTCTTACTTTTTCCTTAAGGACCTCTTCGAAAGACCCTATCTCTTTATATAAGGCTAGGTGGTCTTTCTAGGCCTAGAAAAACTAGTCTCTAAAGGGGTGTTTTTCTAGATACTTCTAGTTTGCTAGTAGGTCCGGGAGGTCTCTTTTATATACCTTCCTTGCTAATAGCTATAGCTTAAAGAGCCGGCCTACTATAAATGCTCCGTAGGAACCGTCTTTTATTAGCGTTAGGTAGAAGTCGGAAAAATAATCGAAATAAGGGAGAAACTAGTCTTCTTTCGTATCGGGCCCTATACCTTCCTTTGCTTCTCGAAGTAGGGATAAAAAGGCAGCCGGGTAATCCTTTAAGAGAGGTGCCTTTCCTACCCCCTTAGGGGTCGAGACGGGAAGACTAACTAAAAAAAGCTGCTTCTAGATCTTCTTCTTATTCCGTAAGAGGAGGCGTAGGGAGGTAGGCGTATTCTAGCTCTACCGCTTTCCTATAGTCTCCTTCTTCGTCTAGATTATCTAATTTAGTAGCTTCCTCTTCTTTAATATCGGCGTTATCCTTAACTACTTCGACGTCGGTTTCTTCTTCTATTTCCTTATCTAAGACCTCTTCTTAAGACTATTAGGAAAAGGGGATTTAAATCTTCTAAATTAGCTAACGTTATAAGAGTAAGAAGGGCTATTAATCCCTCTTTCCGTCGAAGAAGCTAGATTCGTCGAAAATTATATCCCTAGTCGAAATAACCTTCCGTAGAAGAGGAATCTAGATCTAGAAGATATTCGTAGAATTATAACTAACGAGGTAACTAATAAAGGCTCTAGGATTAAGCTTTCTTTTCTTCTTCCTTTTTAGCTATATATCGGTAGTTATTCGTATACCTTATAGCTATAGGTATAAAGGTAGGCTAGCAAGGCCCTCTTCTTTATAAAGAGCTTAAGGGGGGATTTCTAGTCTATTCCTTAGGTAGTCCCTCTAGGGGTCCGGTTCTATAGGTAATAGGCGGTCTTAACGACTTCCCTCTAAAGGTCGTAGGGAAGCCTTATAGTAAGTCTTATCGTACGGTCCCTTTCTATTATAGCACCCCTTAATCTTTCTGCCCCTCCG